AAAGTATGAATTCAACACTTGTATTACAAAGTAAGCTTTCTAAGTGCCCTTGGTAGTGCTGATCCATAGTTGCAGTTCCTACTCCCTAGAGAATTAAAGGGAGTACTCTAATTTGATTTTATTACTAAATGCACATGCTTACTCTACCAAGTATTAGCATGCAAGGTTTAAACTTGTTTCATCGTCAAAGTACCCTTGGCACGTATTTCCCTTATAAATCAAAATGATTCTAGATTACACATGGTACATACACTATAATATTTTACGCCTACGGCCACACTAAATCTGGACAATGCTTGTAAAGTGTTGCCTAAAATACTTTTGGGAACGCTTTTAAAGTGTAGCCCATGTTTTTAATTTTTGGCTACAATAATATTGGCAACACTTGTAAAGCATACTCTTTAATGGTATAGGCTACATTTTATAAACGTTGTTACAGTATGATATAATTGGCAACAACAATTTACATATATGGCAACACTTTTAAAATGTCCTATTTTTATAATTTTAAAAACAACACATTACAAGTGTGGCCTTAAAATTTTAACTAAAATATTATATTCCCTCCAATATTTTTAACTCTCCCTCCCATTTTTATTGGCCAAAAAAAATAATTCATAAAACATTAATCAGAAAAACGACACACTTTTCTTTGGAGAACTGAAGAGCGAGCTGAAGAAGAGCGAGCTGAAGATCTAAAGTTAAGAACTGGAGAGCTGAAGCTAAGAACTAAAAAGCTAAAGTGACCACGATTTCTCCGATACCGGATTTCGTCAAGCGTAAGTACCCGATTCTTGGTTCTGTGTTCTTGAATTTATAACTATGTTTTCACACTTGTATGTATAAGGTTTTGTTGTAATAATCACCGTGGGTGCTTGTACCTCAAAACCTCTAAGATCCAATCCTTATTCCCCACAAGAAATTCTTCCCCCACCGAAAACACCAAATGTCGCTGAAACCCAGAAAGATAATGAAGCTAAAAATCACCTCTACTCCAGCGAGGTTGTTTAAACACCTTTTTCCTCCTCGTTCTCCAGCAAATCATATTAAAGCTTTGTTGTTGAGACGGCATGGTAGTGTTAAGCCTAATGCTGCAGCTATTCCTGAAGGAGAGGAAAATGAGGGGGCTAACTTGGATAAGAGTTTTGGGTTTTCTAAGCAATTTACGAGTAAGTATGAAATTAGGGAGGAAGTGGGTAGAGGCCATTTTGGGTATACTTGTTCTGCTATTGTCAAGAAAGGTGAACTTAAGGGTCAGAAAGTTGTTGTTAAGGTCATTCCAAAAGCCAAGGTCTGTTGCATTGAAATGTATTTGCATACTGAAATTACCTACAATTTTTTATTGTTGAAGTACATGTTAGGAAAAGTTGGTCAATTTTATTAGTCCATTTTCTTTGATCTAAGTTCTGTTGGGGTTTTAGATTTGTTCTCTCTATATGTCATGAGCACCATTAGATTTTATGAGTCCATATTCAGCAGCCGAGATTCCTTCTTATTCTCTACTAATTTTTGTTTTGTGTTTAGAAGGAATTGAATACTTTGGGGTTGTTGGAATGGATCAAATCACGAGTTACAGCTGAAATTCCAAAGTATGGGAAGAAAGTGCCGAAGAATATGATTTCAGCTGTAGCTGGTTTTACTGCTATTTATTGGGTAAGGACACAACATTTTTTATATCATATCCTTACTAACATGTTCTTACAGCTATACAATTGTTCGGATATGTTTAAGATCACAAGTTTTAAGGATACTTCTGGTGTACTAATTTCCTACTAATAATATTAAATATATGTATATAATCAAATCAATCATAAGATAATCACAGATTTATCTGTTAGATTGAAAAGCACACATGTGGTTCAAAATCATCATTGAGAAAAATGTTTGATGATTGACATCTCTGTGAATAACAGGCCTTCGACATTCATTGTGTATGTAATTCAAAGCTTCTGCAATTCCAACGGCTTTCTGAATCCTTTTTCCCATGTCAATACTGATTTGGTTATTCCTACATTCCAAATTAACTCAAGATTAACGAATTAAATTAGGGTTTTATGTACATAATATATTCTTTGGTTTGCAGTAAGCTTATTAAACTATACTTGTTCAATTTCATAAAATACTTTCACTGATGGTATACTTATATGAACTTGAGTTTCTCATGATATAGTTTTTGGTGTTGAATTAGATTCAAGTATCATTTTTTTATATGGGAGATGTTTTGAGTGAATAAGTATACTGGTAAGTATATTGAGATGTTACAACCTGAGTTTCAGAATTAGTGTTACCAACTTGACTAGAAGCATAGTTGTGAGACTTACCTGTTTGCAGTAGAGTGTCTTGGTGTTGTTGGAGTTGAGTTTCTACTTTTTCCATGCTTTGTTTGGTGCGCCTGCTATCTTGATTTACATGTCTGCATTAGAGTATCTTTGGATATTTCTCCTGCTGCCCTTGTTCTTTAACCTGAGGTGGACTTCTAGTTGGATATAGCTACTGCAATCTGCTATCTGCAAATTCGCAAATCTGCAATCTGCAAATCTGCAATCTGTAAATTCGCAAATCTGCAATCTGCTGTCCATCCTTTAAAGACGTAACCAAAACCTCCTTCGCCAAAAAGACTATCATCTAGGAAGTTCCTAGTTGCATTTTTCAGTTCATTGTAGGTAAATGACTTGAGGTTGCTTGGAACAAATGAATCATTTGTACAAAAACTGTTGTGAAATGATTCATTATAAGAATGAAACTGTTCCTTTTTCACACTGCCTGAAGAGCCAAAATTAGAATCTGAAAGAGAAACTGGTTCAGTTGAGCCAGAATTCGAATATATGAATCCTTACCATTCATGTCACTCCACTTAAGCTTCTCCAGTACAACCAGTAATGTACATTTTCTATTTTCTTGTAAATTTCTAACAAGGCTAAAAAAATCCAAACAAATATTGTAACTCAATATTCCAAAGCAACAAACTTCTATACAAACCAAAACACAAAAGAAATGAATAAGAAAGGGTTCAAGAGGCAGAACTTTGTTCTGCTATTGGACATTGTATGACTGCTTGTGAACAAGGTTCAAGAGGCAGAACTCTGAATAAGGGAGGTGCATAGGTTCAGATTATAGATTTTTTTATGAAGGATGCTAAGTGATCTGGTAGTCCTGGCAGGTTCAGATTATAGGGTGAGTCCTGGTAGTTAACTGCAATAGATAAGAAAATTGATAAGAACACACTCCATATACCAGCTGCTACTTTACAGTGCAAAAATAGATGCCTAGCACTCTCCAACATTGTCTGATGGCACATATAACATTCATCAGGATGTGTTTTCCCTTCTGTAAAATGTAGTCAACTTTAGCCTTAAAATCTGGTTCAACTTGCATGCTTTAGATTGTGTTAATTATTTTCTTCCTTACTTTAGAACTTGGAAGGCTACATAACACTTGAAGTAAAATTAATGAACTCTTTTGAAATCAGGTTTCCAGTAAACCTTATCACAGGGTTCTGTTAAGCCTTGAACACTTCTAGAGTCTTGAAAAATTTCACAACTTCTTCTTATTCACAGTCCTTCTATAAGTAATATTTCACCCTTTAGGATCCAAGATTATAGCTAATCTTGCTTCAGGTCAAGGATAACTTAGAATGAATAATCTCTATGAAACTTTAAGTTTTTTGGTGTGATCGACTATCTATTATAGGATCATTGTAATGTTTGCTTGAATGTTTAAACATGGTAGTAGATGTTTGATACTTCTCTGATTAGGTGTGCACAAGAATGAAATTTTAAAATTTTGGACATAGTTTTAAAAAGCTCAAAAAGATTTTCACACTATATTTAAAATGTGTGAACTTCTTTAAAATGTTGTTTACAACTTGAATCTGCTTCTCGATAGAATTTTCTAATCTTGATTAGTTCATTTAATTGTGTCTATCCTATTAATTTACTTTCTTTCTTAATTGTGTCTATCCTATTAATTTTACTTATTTTTCCTTAGAAGTATAATCAACATTCAGAAACATTTGTGGAGGATTCAAGGTTTGATTTAGCATAGCACAAGCACCATGACTAGGTAAGAAACTTTTATCATCTCATAACACCTGATTCTGATAACTTACTCATGACTTTTAAAAATTATTTGTGAAGTAGTTAATGATTTAATGATTGTTACTGTAAGATTAAATATTGATATCTTCTTCTAGGAATTCAAATATCCCATCCAAGGATTGGATGGATTTAGCAAGGTATAGCAAACCGTATATTGATGGTGTTGAATCATTCCTAGATTTTGCTTACTCTTATGGAGATCCTCAAGGAGAGGAAATTCAGTGTCCATGTGCAAAATATTGTAATGTTCGTTAGACTCGAAGGAATGTAGTGTATGATCATCTAATATGCTATGGATTTGTTAAAGGTTATACTAGATGGATCAATCACGGGGAATGGGATATCAAGTTGAATGTTGACGATGATATGGATTACTCGTGTGATGATATTGATGGGTTGTTGAATGATCAATTTAGAGATGTTGCACATGCCGAAGGAGTTTATGATGGTCCAAATTAAGATGCCAAGAAATACTATAACTTAGTTGAAGAGGCAAGCCAAGAATTATATCCTGGTTGTATAGGATTCTCTAAATTATCATTGACACTTCGTTTATATTTGTTGAAGTGTCTACATGGATGGAGCAATGAATCATTCACTTCTCTTTTAGAGATATTAAAAGAGGCAATGCCCGAGTTGAACATTCCTTCGTCTTACAATAAAACCAAGTCTATGGTTAAGAATCTCGGTCTTGATTATGAGAAAATCGATGCATGTCCAAATGATTGCATTTTGTTTAGGAATGATCATAAGGATAATGAATTTTGTCATACTTGCAGAGTTTCACGATATATTTAAAATCCTGAAGTTGATAGTGAGGTTGTGCCTTCTAAAAAATCACATCGAGCTTCAGCAAAGACTTTGAGACACTTTCCATTAATTCCTAGACTCAAAAGGTTATTTATGTGCTCAAAGACGGCAGATTCTTTGAGGTGGTATGACGAGGAACATTCTAAAGATGGAAAGTTAAGGCATCCTGCTGATGGTCAAGCATGGAAAGATTTTGATAGGTTGCATCCAGATTTCGCACTAGATTCTCGCAATGTGAGACTTGGATTAGCAAGTGATGGGTTCAATCCATTAGAAAGTGTAGCTGATAAAGCAACACTTTTAAGCGTAGCCTTTTTGTCTGTTAGGGATTCGAACCCTCAATAGTTCTTTGTTCAAAACTATACCGATTTTCAAGACCGAGCTGTTGGAATATTTTTGTTGACGACTTGGACAGGGCGGTTCTGTAATGACCCGAAAGGTCATTTTTGGAAATTTTAAACTATTTGTTTAACTTGAGTTAATTAATCGATAGTTAGTGGGGTAAAGTGATCATTTATTTAAGACCCTCTATTATTTGGCCCACAATTATTATAATAAGTTAGGGGTTTGTCACTTTTTAATAAATAACTAATTTAGAAAAGAAAGGGAGGCAGAAACTTACCTAGGCGGATGAACGAGATGAAAAAGAACGGCCAAACTTCAAGATTCAGGTAGGTACGCCTTTAAACAATGAATTGAGTGTATGCGTAAATGTGACATTTTGTTAATTTATTATTACTATATGTTAGAGGTAACAATTTAGTTTTCAAATTTGGTTAAGATCGTTATTCCTATTGGTGGGTGTGTCATGTTGGTGGGTTAATGTATGCAAGATTATTAATGGCTAAGGTGTTTGGTGGGTATAAAATGAGGAGGTTATAATTTTGTTTGCAGTTGGTGAATGGCGGCAGAATGTTGGTTAAAGGGAAGTGTGATTTGGTAGGATATAGTCATTCAGTAATTATTATCAAATTATAGTATAATAATTAGAAGGATAGGATGGAGAAAAGGATTTTGAGATTAACTTGTGTCAATTTGAGTTCTGGAAAGTTTTGGTTTTCCCCTAATCTAAAAAGCTATGTGCATAATTCGGGTTTTTAGTGTTTCTCCAATTCTTTCTTATAATTATCATATTATGATTCAAGTTTTGATATATTAAGGTAGATAATTGAATATAAGGAGTAATTTATAATATGAATACTATTATAATTATGATATTGGAGAAATTATGACTTAACCGTAGACTTGAAATTTGGAAATATAAGAGTTGACATGTTAATTGGCACCAAGATATAGGAACTTGATTTTAGGTTTGGGTGAGCTCTTGGGTCTAGTTGGACATAGAGTAATATGAATATTGTTAATTTCGAAATCTTATTGTGGTTATTTATTTGAATAGATTGTATTGATTTGGAAGCTCAACGAAAAGGGAAGGCTCAAGTCTCGGAGTGAATTGTGAATCCATTGAGGCAAGTGGATTTCTAAACCCTTGTTAAGCGTATGGAATTCGTGTATTTCCTTGTGGTATATGTTTGGGAGTAATGTGATCAATTGTTTGTGTAATGTGTTGAGAATTGTTTGAAAGACTTGTTGAATCATCGTTGAACTTGTGATTTGTGCAATGTTATGAAAATGGTCATCTCCTCATTATTTGTGTGAACATGTCATTTGCATTATTCTGAGACATGGTTGTGACAAGTGTTATGTGCATTGAGAAAGAATAAGAAATTAAGGAGGATGTACCATTTCGAGGGACGTATCGCGCGCCGCGATGGATACTATATTTCGAGGGACGTGTCGCGCGCCGCGACGGATATTATATTTCGAGGGACGTATCGCGCGCCGCGATGGATGCATGGACAGATATGTCCCCCATGGGTCCCGGACTGAGAGACAGCGGGTGTGTATCATTAGGTCAGACATGCATCACTATAATTGACATTGCATTTCATTGCATTGCACATTTTTATTATTAATGAACTTGATCTTGTGTGTTGTTGATCTTGTGAGTGCCTTTCTATGGAACTTGTGACTGACGAATATTGAGGTGTTATTGAGAATATATGACCTGTTAGAGTGCTATTGTTGAGTTGTATGCTTTGTAAATTGTAAATTGTTAGGTTGGGTTGGTTTTATGCAGGTTGTAGTTATGGAGGTTAGGATGGGGTGTAAGGAGTACCCGTATTCTGTACTCTTAGCTTGTGTTTAGAGGTTTGCTTGTTGAGTACCGTGTGGTTTGGTACTCACCCCTTGCTTCTACAATCTTTTGTAGGTTACGAGCCCGGATCTTCGTGATACCTTCAATTCTCTTCGTTTCCGAGGTTTTCTGTGGAGATCTGAGAGGTAGCTGTTTGTCATCTCAGCGAACCTTCTTACTCCTGTTTATGATTTTGTTTTTACTTGAAAGAGAACGTCATTTGAGACTTGCGTATTTTCTTTCAATTCTAGTATTTACATTAGAGGCTTGTGCACGTGACAACCAGGTTTTGGGGATTGAATTAAGTTGACCTGTTTTCGTAATAGTAATTGCTATTGAACTTTGCTTTATTTCCGCACTTTATCGAAATGATTGGGTTTTAGGCTGACTTGTCTTGGTGGGATACGACGAGTGCCATCACATCCATTTTTGGGTCGTGACAAAATGGTATCAGAGCCCCAGGTTCATAGGTCTCACGTGCATACAAGCCGAGTCTACGTAGAGTCTCAAGGATCGGTACAAAGACGTCTGTACTTATCTCTGAGAGGCTATAAAGACTATTAGGAAACTTCATTTTTGTTAATTCTGTCTCATCGTGCGTGGTTACCTTCTTTAGTACTGAGCTATTGTATACTCTTTTGACAGATGACGAGGACTAGAGCGACTGTTACTGGTGGTAGAGGGGAGGCACTTCCTGAGGCAGTTGTTGAGGCCCCAGCTAGGGGTAGGGGTAGAGCCCGAGCTAGAGGTCGTGCTCGTGGAACGACACTAGGCAGAGGTCGTGGCCGTGGAGCAGCACCAGTTAGAGGACATACTAGAGAGGCCTCTCCTGAGCCCCAGATTGATGACAGAGAGGACCAGGTTCCTCCAGAGCCTGCAGTCACACCTTTGCTTCAGGATACATTATTGAGGGTATTAAGTGTGCTTGAGAGCTTTACTCAGGGTGGTGGTGCGACCGCTACACCACAAGACTCTCAGACTAGAGAGGGGGCTCAGACCCAAGAGCAGCAGGAAGCTCCAGTTATGCATGATGCGGTGGGGCAGCCACCAAAGGATCCCATGGTTGAGAATGATCTTGCACCAGCAATTGGGGGTCAAGGTGAACCATTGGTTGTTCTGACAGAGGATGAGCAACGTAGGTATGAGAAATTTCGAAAGATGGACCCACCTCAGTTTCAGGGTGGGAAGAGTGAGGATGCTCATGAGTTTCTGACTACATGCCGAGAGTTACTAGAGGTTGTTGGATTAGCTGAGTCACATGGGGTTCGATATGCTACACTCCAGCTTCGTGGGCCAGCGAGAGAGTGGTGGAGAACTTATTCGGGGGCTTTGCCAGTTGGATCTCCTCCAGTGACTTGGGAGAGGTTTTCCAGTGCTTTCATGACCGTTTTATCCCTTGGAGCGTGAGAGAGGAGAGTCGTTTGAGGTTTGAGAATCTGAGACAGGACAGCTTATCAGTTACAGAGTATGAGGCCCGTTTTTGCCAGTTGTCTAGGCATGCTTTGGCCATTATTCCAGACGAGACAGAGAGGATCCGTAGATTCGTGAGGGGGTTGACTTTCTCTATCAGATCGGCTGTGTTTAGAGCATCTAGAGAGGGGGCTTCCTTCCAATCCATTGTGAGTGCCGCTAAAGAGGCGGAATTGATGGAGAGAGAAGAGTTTGGGGACCCTAAGAGAGTCCGTACAGCAGATCAGTTTCATGGTGCCTCATCTGGAGGCAGGGGATCACACAGAGGGAGTGGTTCCTTTCAGCAGCGAGGACCCGTTCATGCATCTATGCCGACATCCGAGGGTGGTCAGATACCTCGGGGTTCTTATAGCGTGGGTCACGGTTCACAGCAGCGACCTATGGGGCGAGGCAATTATAGTGGGTTTTCAGGGTCTGCACAACAGTTCCCGGGACAGAGATTTTGCTTTTCTTGTGGAGATCCCAATCACCTGATGCGACAGTGTACTTCCCAGAGGGGTCGTGGAGGGTCCCAACCTAATTCTTCATTTCAGGCTAGACCACCAGTACCACCGGGTAGAGGCCGAGGCAGAGTTCAGTCAGGTAGAGGCGGTAGAGCTTCTAGTAGTGGTTCTGCAGCTCAGCAGAGTGGGGGTAGAGTTACCACCCAGGCTGGAGGTGGCCGAGGGGGCCACTGTTATGCTTTTCCGGGGAGACCCGAAGCGGAGACTTCTGATGCTGTTATTACAGGTATCATTCTAGTATGCCATTGATCTGCGTCTGTATTGTTTGATCCAGGGTCTACATTCTCTTATGTGTCCACCTATTTTGCTGCTGAATTTGATATGATATGTGATAGCATGACTGTACCTATTCGTGTTTCTACACCCGTGGGTGAACCCTTAGTGGTGGATCGAGTGTATCGATCTTGTCTTGTTTCTCTAGCGGGGTATGACACTTGGGTAGATTTAATCATTCTGGGGATGGTAGACTTTGATGTTATCTTGGGTATGAATTGGCTTTCTCCTTATCATGCTGTCCTTGATTGTAATGCTAAGACTGTGACTTTAGCAATGCCTGGTGTTCCGAGGGTTGAGTGGAAGGGTGCTAATGGCTCTTATCCTAGCAAGGTCATTTCTTTTATTTGTGCTCAGAGATTGGTGGAGAGAGGGTGTTTGTCTTACTTAGCTTTTATTCGGGACACCAGTGTTGAACCACCTTCCATAGATTCTGTTCCCGTGGTTCAGGAGTTTCTCGATGTATTCCCTTCTGATCTTCCAGGTGTTCCTCCCGATAGGGATATTGATTTTGCTATTGATTTGGAGCCGGGCACTAAGCCTATTTCTATTCCTCCCTACCGTATGGCTCCAGCAGAGTTGAAAGAGTTGAAGGATCAGTTGCAGGATTTATTGAGTAAAGGGTTTATTCGCCCTAGTGTGTCACCTTGGGGTGCCCCTGTGCTGTTTGTGAAGAAGAAGGATGGGACTATGAGGATGTGTATTGATTACAGACAGCTAAACAAGGTAACAGTGAAAAATAAGTATCCTCTTCCGCGTATTGATGACTTATTTGATCAGCTACAGGGGGCATCGTTGTTCTCTAAGATTGATTTGAGGTCTGGGTATCATCAGTTGAAGATTAGGGCATCAGATATCCCTAAGACAGCTTTTCGGACTCGGTATGGGCATTATGAGTTCTTAGTGATGTCCTTTGGGTTAACTAATGCCCCTGCAGCTTTTATGGAGTTGATGAACGGGGTGTTTCGACCATACATTGATTCTTTTGTGATTGTTTTCATCGATGACATTTTGGTTTACTCCAAGACTGAGGATGACCATGTCCGACACTTGAGAATTGTACTTCAGAGATTGAGGGAAGAGAGGTTGTATGCCAAGTTCTCAAAGTGTGAGTTCTGGCTTAATTCTGTGGCATTCTTGGGACACGTGGTGTCCAAGGAGGGTATTAGAGTAGATCCAGCCAAGATTGAGGCAGTTAGAGGCTGGACGCGACCTACTTCTCCTACCGAGATTAGGAGTTTTGTGGGATTGGCAGGTTATTACCGACGATTTGTTCAGAGTTTCTCTACTATTGCAGCTCCATTGACTAGATTGACTCGACAGGGTGTGGGTTTTCAGTGGTCTGATGAGTGTGAGGAGAGTTTTCAAAAGCTCAAGACTTTGTTGACTTCGGCTCCTGTGTTGACTCTACCTGAGGAGGGTGTAGACTTTACTGTGTATTGTGATGCTTCAGGAGTCGGATTGGGTGGTGTATTGATGCAAAAGGGGAAAGTGATTGCTTATGCTTCTAGGCAATTGAAGTCCCATGAAAAGAACTACCCTACTCATGATTTGGAGTTGGCGGCTGTAGTATTTGTACTTAAGTTATGGCGTCATTATTTGTATGGGGTGCATTGTGAGATCTTCACTGATCATCGGAGTCTTCAGTATATCTTTAGTCAGAGGGATCTGAACTTGAGGCAGCGTAGGTGGCTTGAGTTGTTGAAGGACTATGATGTGACCATTTTATATCATCCGGGGAAGGCCAATGTTGTTGCCGATGCTCTGAGTAGGAAGACTCCTAGCATGGGAAGTCTTGCAGCACTTAGCATTGAGGAGAGACCATTGGCTAGAGATGTTCAGAGGTTAGCTAATAGTCTTGTCCGGTTGCAGATCTCAGAGGAGAGTGATGGGATAATTGCTTTTATTGAGGCTCAGTCTTCTTTAGTCGAGCAGATCCGTGCGCACCAGTTTGATGATGAGAAATTATGTCTCATTCGAGACAGAGTATTGAGAGGGGAAGCCAAGGAGGCTGTCCTTGATTCTGACGGTGTCTTGAGGATCGGAGGCAGGATTTGTGTGCCCAAGACAGGAGAGTTGACTAGACTGATTCTTGAAGAGGCCCATTGTTCCCGATATTCTATCCATCCGGGAGCAGCGAAGATGTATCATGATCTGAGTCAGCATTACTGGTGGTGTGGGATGAAGAGAGATATTTCAGACTTTGTTTCTAGGTGTTTGACTTGCCAACAGGTCAAGTGTGAGCACCAGCGTCCTGGGGGTGTATCTCAGAGGATGCCTATTCCTACTTGGAAGTGGGAGCGGATCACTATGGACTTTGTTGTGGGTTTGCCTACCACAGTGGGTGGTTATGACTCCATTTGGGTTGTTGTTGACAGGCTGACCAAGTCTGCCCACTTCATTCCGGTTCGGGTGAAATATACGGCAGAGAAGTTAGCCGAGCTATATATCAGTCAGATTGTGCGACTACATGGGGTTCCTGTTTCTATTATATCAGATCGAGGTTCACTATTTACTTCTCACTTCTGGAAGGCATTACAACATGGTTTGGGTACTCAGCTAGATATGAGTACAGCCTTTCACCCTCAGACAGATGGTCAGTCCGAGCGGACGATTCAGGTGTTGGAGGACATGCTCCGAGCATGTGTGATCGATTTTGGTGCTAGATGGGATCGACATTTACCCTTAGCAGAGTTTGCCTACAATAACAGTTATCACTCTAGTATTCAGATGGCCCCATTTGAGGCGTTGTATGGCAGACGATGTAGGTCTCCGATCGGTTGGTTTGATTCGGCAGAGATGGACTCTTTGGATACTGACTTGCTTAGAGATGCTATGGAGCAAGTCCGTAGGATTCAGTATAGACTGTTGACAGCCCAGAGTCGACAGAAGAGTTATGCAGACCGGAGAGTTAGAGCCTTAGTGTTTATGGAGGGCGATCATGTTTGGCTTAGAGTGTCACCTATGAAGGGTGTGATGCGGTTCGGCAAGAAGGGCAAGCTTAGCCCTAGATTCATTGGACCTTTTGAGATTTTGGGTCGAGTGGGAGAGGTGGCCTATAAGTTGGCCTTGCCACCTAGTTTGTCGGCAGTTCATCCTGTCTTCCATGTCTCTATGCTTCGGAAGTATATTCCGGATGAGTCACATGTGCTTTCACTCGATTCAGTGGAGTTGGGTCCAGACTTGACATTTGAGGAGGAACCTATAGCTATATTGGACAGGCAGGTTCGAAAGCTTAGGACCAAGGAGATTGCTTTAGTGAAGGTGCAATGGAAGCACCGATCAGTGGGAGAGGCAACTTGGGAGACAGAGTCTGACATGCGTGCCAGATATCCTCATCTTTTTGAAGCTTTAGGTACTTTCTTTCACCTTAAGTTCGAGGACGAACATGATTTTTAGTGGTGGATAATGTAATGACCCGAAAGGTCATTTTTGGAAATTTTAAACTATTTGTTTAACTTGAGTTAATTAATCGATAGTTAGTGGGCTAAAGTGATCATTTATTTAAGACCCTCTATTATTTGGCCCACAATTATTATAATAAGTTAGGGGTTTGTCACTTTTTAATAAATAACTAATTTAGAAAAGAAAGGGAGGCAGAAACTTACCTAGGCGGATGAACGAGATGAAAAAGAACGGCCAAACTTCAAGATTCAGGTAGGTACGCCTTTAAACAATGAATTGAGTGTATGCGTAAATGTGACATTTTGTTAATTTATTATTACTATATGTTAGAGGTAACAATTTAGTTTTCAAATTTGGTTAAGATCGTTATTCCTATTGGTGGGTGTGTCATGTTGGTGGGTTAATGTATGCAAGATTATTAATGGCTAAGGTGTTTGGTGGGTATAAAATGAGGAGGTTATAATTTTGTTTGCAGTTGGTGAATGGCGGCAGAATGTTGGTTAAAGGGAAGTGTGATTTGGTAGGATATAGTCATTCAGTAATTATTATCAAATTATAGTATAATAATTAGAAGGATAGGATGGAGAAAAGGATTTTGAGATTAACTTGTGTCAATTTGAGTTCTGGAAAGTTTTGGTTTTCCCCTAATCTAAAAAGCTATGTGCATAATTCGGGTTTTTAGTGTTTCTCCAATTCTTTCTTATAATTATCATATTATGATTCAAGTTTTGATATATTAAGGTAGATAATTGAATATAAGGAGTAATTTATAATATGAATACTATTATAATTATGATATTGGAGAAATTATGACTTAACCGTAGACTTGAAATTTGGAAATATAAGAGTTGACATGTTAATTGGCACCAAGATATAGGAACTTGATTTTAGGTTTGGGTGAGCTCTTGGGTCTAGTTGGACATAGAGTAATATGAATATTGTTAATTTCGAAATCTTATTGTGGTTATTTATTTGAATAGATTGTATTGATTTGGAAGCTCAACGAAAAGGGAAGGCTCAAGTCTCGGAGTGAATTGTGAATCCATTGAGGCAAGTGGATTTCTAAACCCTTGTTAAGCGTATGGAATTCGTGTATTTCCTTGTGGTATATGTTTGGGAGTAATGTGATCAATTGTTTGTGTAATGTGTTGAGAATTGTTTGAAAGACTTGTTGAATCATCGTTGAACTTGTGATTTGTGCAATGTTATGAAAATGGTCATCTCCTCATTATTTGTGTGAACATGTCATTTGCATTATTCTGAGACATGGTTGTGACAAGTGTTATGTGCATTGAGAAAGAATAAGAAATTAAGGAGGATGTACCATTTCGAGGGACGTATCGCGCGCCGCGATGGATACTATATTTCGAGGGACGTGTCGCGCGCCGCGACGGATATTATATTTCGAGGGACGTATCGCGCGCCGCGATGGATGCATGGACAGATATGTCCCCCATGGGTCCCGGACTGAGAGACAGCGGGTGTGTATCATTAGGTCAGACATGCATCACTATAATTGACATTGCATTTCATTGCATTGCACATTTTTATTATTAATGAACTTGATCTTGTGTGTTGTTGATCTTGTGAGTGCCTTTCTATGGAACTTGTGACTGACGAATATTGAGGTGTTATTGAGAATATATGACCTGTTAGAGTGCTATTGTTGAGTTGTATGCTTTGTAAATTGTAAATTGTTAGGTTGGGTTGGTTTTATGCAGGTTGTAGTTATGGAGGTTAGGATGGGGTGTAAGGAGTACCCGTATTCTGTACTCTTAGCTTGTGTTTAGAGGTTTGCTTGTTGAGTACCGTGTGGTTTGGTACTCACCCCTTGCTTCTACAATCTTTTGTAGGTTACGAGCCCGGATCTTCGTGATACCTTCAATTCTCTTCGTTTCCGAGGTTTTCTGTGGAGATCTGAGAGGTAGTTGTTTGTCATCTCAGCGAACCTTCTTACTCCTGTTTATGATTTTGTTTTTACTTGAAAGACAACATCATTTGAGACTTGCGTATTTTCTTTCAATTCTAGTATTTACATTAGAGGCTTGTGCACGTGACAACCAGGTTTTGGGGATTGAATTAAGTTGACCTGTTTTCGTAATAGTAATTGCTATTGAACTTTGCTTTATTTCCGCACTTTATCGAAATGATTGGGTTTTAGGCTGACTTGTCTTGGTGGGATACGACGAGTGCCATCACATCCATTTTTGGGTCGTGACAGGTTCACAATTTCTTTGCTGAAGGCGCTGTTAAGCCCTAAGTTTGAATTCCAATTTCATTGCCCTTATTCCGAAAGTATAAAGTCCTTCTTTCACCAATGTAGCTTGAAAGTGTAGCTGATAAGACAACACTTTTAAGTGTAGCTGGAAAGCGTGGCCTTTTTTCCTTTTAGGCTACGCTTGAAAGTGTAGCTGATAAGGCAACACTTTTAAGTGTAGCTGCAAAGCTTTGCCTTTTTGCCTTTAGGCTACGCTTTAAGTGTAGCAGATAAGGCAACACTTGAAAAATGTCGCCTAAACTCTAAGGTTACGCTTCATTAGGCCACCCCTGGAAAAGCGTGGCTTAAAGACAAAAAGTGTGGATTTTTATCAAAGGCCACAATTTTTCATAGTTTAGGCCACACTTTTCTAGGGTGGTTGTAGACATAAAATGTTGTAGTGATATGTTTATATACAATCTGCCCATATCTAACCAACTTGCTTCAATTGTCTATTCCATCATATATGTCATTTGTCACATGTTCATATGCTCCCTTTATTGGTCATTAATCCCATTGTGTTAGACTATAATGTTACCTCACAAGATCCCTACTTGCTCTATTATACATTTTATATGTACTTACTTGGGATATGTATCCGTCCTTAAGTTGAATCTGCCCACGTTCTCCCTTTTTTCCATGTTCATTATACCTTATAATTGATATTAGTTAGTGAGTATTTGTCTATCATATAGAGTTCAAATCTCTTGGTTGAATGTTAAATGTCTTCACTTGATATGTGCTTCAATTTAAGATGTCAAAATGCTTACTGAGTCATATAAGCTCCTAAGTATTACATTCGTGTCACATTTGCTTCCCATGTCATTGTTATTATCGTAAGTCCATATTCATATGTCTTCTACTACTGGTCTATAGTTCCAAATCTCAGCAGTGATTATGACCACCACAACAACAATCTCAAAAGAGTTATGATCACCAAAAGAACAATCTTAAAAGAGTTATGAGCATTAAAACAACAAACTCAAAGATTAAAGAATCTAAGTGAAGCAATTTATAATTATGGGTGGCAGCCAAGGGGCGAATGCCTAGCATGGGTAGATCCCAATTGGTATAGAAGGGTGGCAGCTTAGGCTAAAAAGCCTAGTATGGGCCAATCCCAATCGGTATAAAAGGGTGGCAGCTCAGGGGCGAAAGCCTAGCATGGGCCGATCCCAATTTGTTGAATTATGAGGACAACATCCCAGGGGTTAAAATTCCTAGCATGGGTCATCCTCTTCTACCACTGATCAACTGGTCATTTGTATCATATGTCTTATACAGATTATAATGCACAGAGAAGTAAAGAAAAGAATGTAACATACACGATTCCATAAGTATAAGCAAAGGTGGTCTCTAATCCTTGTTTATTGGTATTTGGTTTCACTTGAACTCTCATTTTACATATGGCTGTATTATGCCTTACATATTGAGTACATTCTTTCTTACTAACGTTCGTTATTGGGGACGCTGCATTTCATGCTACTCGTACAGGTCAACTAGTAGATCTCCCCAATAGAAGCACATGATACTCAACGGTTGTTGGTGAGCTCCAGGTTGATTCGGGGCTTTGCCGAGTCTTTACTATGCACATTTTCATAGTGGTACAGTCATGGATTCCAGTAGAGGCTTTGTAAACATTGTAAAGCTATCATTTGTGTTCATCGTTTCACTTGTCATATGTATCGGTTCAGCTAGTCGACATGTGTTGTATTTGAAGCCTCTCATTAGTAAATCTATCAGCATAGCAGTTTACTTTCTCATCATAGGTCACTTGTAAAGCATGTGTGCATATGGTACTTTTCCGCCTCACCTAGGGTTGGCGTGTGACAAATTCACATCTGCCTTGATTTAGAAGTGTAAACAATAGCCATACAACCCTCCATTCGAAGAAGTAATACTATTTTATGCACAGACGCATCTAGGATTTATCACTAGTTCCAAGTGGGGTTGGTTTATATGTGTGTGTAGAAATAAATATTACACACACACACACACAAGTATATTGTAAGTTCCATGGATGCTACTGCTATGGGAGATGAGAGTAATTAATGGAGTCGCTAATAACTAATAAGTGATACTTTGTCCCCAACATTATATGTAAATTGCCAAACATCTTCTTTAGGTTAATCAACATAATTTAGAAAACTCATATAAGTCTAGCATGGAATGAAACAACTACACACTTATACTTCACGGAGGTCCTATTACCCCCCTAAACTTTTTATTTTCGATATTTTGTGACACCTAAACGCTGACCTGTCCAAGAAAGTGAATACACCTCTTGTAGGCGCAAAAGGGTTCAACAAAAAGACATAAAATGACTAAAATTGAACTAAATAATCCATGTGGCGTTATCTCATTGGAGATTATACAAGTAATTCATTTTTCTTAATTCGTTCCCTTTTCTTATATCACAAAATTGTTATACCCATTTCATGATTTCTTCAAGTTTTTCTCAAAGTCCTTCACTGGTGGTCTTCTAAATTTCGTCTCTAGGAGCTCCAAATCAGTTCATAGCTACTGATTTATGCTTAGTTAATCATACATCAACTGATTTTAGTAACAACGTCAATCACCTAACTTATAAGAAACTTTCATATTTGAAGCTCCAAAATGGAGTTCAAGTTTTTTCTTAAATCCCTCATAATTTCAGCAAAATAAATAAATAAAAAGAAGTCAAACCACAACGAAACAACAATGGTGAATTTGAAATTTCACTTTCTAATTTCATTCTTAC